TCACTACTATTTGAGAGAGGCTTCTATTTCCACCTCTTTCCTCCTCCACAACATGACTTCTACCCCACTCTTTATTGCAAGTGTATTCTTAATTCCACTCTTGTTCTCTCAAGCATTTTTCATTTATATCTCTGAAAAATCTTTTATTTATTTTATTTTATTGGAGGCTGAGTATCGCTCTGTCTCCCAGGCTGCAAGGCAGTGGCACCATCACGGCTCACTGCAGCCTCCACCTCCCCGGCTCAAGGGATTCTCATGCCTCTGCCTCCCCAGTTGCTGGGATTACAGGCACGCGCCACCATTGCCTGGCTATCTTTTTTCTATTATTTATTTATTTATTTTTTGAGATGGAGTCTCGCTCTGTCACCCAGGCTGGAGTGCAGTGGCACGATCTCGGCTCACTGCAAGCTCCGCCTTCCAGGTTCACACCATTCTCCTGCCTCAGCCTCCTGAGTAGCTGGGACTACAGGCGCCCTCCACCACAGCTGACTAATTTTTTGCATTTTTAGTAGAGACGGGGTTTCACCGTGGTCTCGATCTCCTGACCGTGTGATCCGCCCGCCTCGGCATCCCAAAGTGGTGATATTACAGGCATGAGCCACCGCGCCCGTCCCCAAAAAGTCTTTTAAAATTGACCTGTCTTCCATCTCTACTGTCTTTGTCCTGGTCCACAATCCCAACATTTTCCTCCCAGACCATTGTGACAATGTTCTGTCTGGTCTTTATCATCTCCATTCTCTTCCCTTCCATCACATTACTTACACTTACTTTTTCTTATCTCTATTCTCTTTCATCTTAATACATTTCTCTACCTCTTTAATTTTTGAAATGATCATTCAAAAATGAAAATCTGTGTCACTATCCTGTCTTAAAAATGCAACAAAACAAAACACTACTGGTTCCCATTACCTGTAAGATTAAATCCAAACTCCTAGGTTTATTTTATAATATTCCTCATACTACGTTTTACACTATATTCTCTGCCTGTCTTTCCAATACCATGCCCCCACTCCACAGCATACATGATGACAAACTTCTTATTTTGCTCAAACATGCTAAGCCTTTTTCTATTATACTCACCCTTCTGTCTTCCCAGAATGCCTTTCCTCTTTTTTTCTTTTATTTATCTTTGAGATGTAACGTACATGTCATTAATTCTGTGAGGAGCCTTCCAAGTCTTTTTCAGGCAGATTTAGTTGCCCTGTTTTTTGTGCTACTACAACCTCTACCTCCTGCCATGACTTTGTTACATGTATTATTCTATTGAAAATCTCTAGCTTCTCCATCAGTCTCTTATATTAGACTATGAGCTTCTCAGGTCTGGGACTTATGTTTTAGTCATTATTCTATCCCAGGCAGTTACTTCATTTAGATATTAAGAAAATGTATTTTGGAAGACTGGAAGGATGAAGAAATTTGTCATCTCCCTGAAAAACAAAAGCAAAAACAAAACAAAAGTGAGGAATCACTAGCATTGCTTTGCATCCTATATGAAGGGAACTTGAGGTTTGGAATCTCACATTGTGTTTTCTAGAGTCCATGACTGCTGGTACGAGAAGAAATATAGAAGGAAATCTTGGATTAAGTCATTCACATCTTGTTGGGCTAAAATCCACTGAACTGCAGGCCAGATCCAGAAAAAAAGATGACCTTTCACTGGTTGCCCAGAGTAATATTCTCCATGTCTCTCTACTTACTTCTAGATAGCAGTACCTGCTAAATGATTGAATCCATGGCTTAGTAGCATCATACATTTCCCGTGCAGCTCGGAGGTTGCAGTTCACAATTATCTAGTCTGGACTCCACTGAGAAGTGATAATTAGATGCTAAATGTTAACTGGATTACAGCAGGAAATTGCTCCCACCAGTCACTTAGCACCTCATCAGGGGTTGGACCTTGAATGTTGTTTTCTACTTACTCTTCCTGTGCAGGTGCCTCTTCCTGACCTTTCTTCAACAGTCTGTATTTTATCTTTCTGTCCAGTTTTGGGATACCACATCTGTTCACCTCCTTGATAGCATCCGTATCTGTAGCACACAAGCAGAAATCTGTGACTCTTATAAGAGGGTGAACAGAGTCAAGAGGCTAAGGGTGTCTCTAAATTTTTCCTAGAAGAGAGAGAGAATTTACTATAATCATAATGGCAACCATCTATTGCTAACCTTCTGTGTGCAAGATATTTTGTAAGTGGTGAACAAGGATTATTTGGTTCATGATATGTCATGTAGTATTACCATCCACAAGCTACAGATGTGAAAATGAGAGCTGTAGGCAGGTTCGAGATTGCAGGTAGGCTGGATGGATTCAGAGCCCACGTTTTTTTTTTTTTTTTTGAGATGGAGTTTTGCTCTTGTTGCCCAGGCTGGAGTGCAATGGCACCATCTTGGCTCACCACAACCTCTGCCTCCCAGGATCAAGCGATTCTCCCACCTCAGCCTCCAGAGTGGCTGGGAGTGCAGGCATGCACCACCATGCCTGGCTAATTTTGTATTTTTAGTAGAGGTGCTATTTCTTCATGTTGGTCAGGCTGGTCTTGAACTCCTGACCTCAGGTGATCTGCCTGCTTTGGTCTCCCAAAGTGTTGGGCTTACACGCGTGAGCCACTGTGCCCGGCCTTTGAGCCCGTGTTCTTGATCACTGTGCTGTACTATGGCCTCTCACTCACTTTAGCCTGGGTACCTCCTTATACTTCTTTGGTACTGAGAATAAAAATGTTATCATCATTCTATTGACCTCAATCAGAGCTTTAGGAGGGAAGGTGTTAAGTCCTCTCCATAGAAGGACAAACTTGGAGTGTCTAATGGGTCTGGAAAGGACTGTTTCCATGAAGCCAACTGGGAAATTTACCAGGCAAAAGGCCACTACTGGGAATTCTAAGGATGTGAGACTGTTGTTCCCTTTCTGTTCCCTTTGCAAATCCAAAAACACAAGTTTCAGCAAAGAATGGTAGATCAATGGGGTTAAGTCCTGTGGAATGTGAGCTGATTTATAGAGGATTGGAAGACCATCGACAGGGAGGTTTGAGGGTGTCAATTCAAATATTGTGTTTATTCATCAATGTCCCAGATCACTGTGTCATCATCAAAGGCTACGTGATTTTATTTGTATTTCATTACACCACAAAAGTTTAATACATTACTCGTATGGTGATGACAGATTTCTTTTCTTTCTTTCTTTCTTTTTTTTTTTGAGAGGGAGTCTCACTCTGTTGCCCAGGCTGGAGTGCAGTGGTGCGATCTTGGCTCACTGCAACTTCCACCTCCCAGGTTCAAGTGATTCTCCTGCCTCAGTCTCCTGAGTAGCTGGGATTACAGGCGCCCTCCACCATGCCTGGCTAATTTTTGTATTTTTAGTAGAGACAGGGTTTCACCATATTGGCCAGGCTGGTCTTGAACTCCTGACCTCAGGTGATCCACCTGCCTTGGCCTCCCAAAGTGCTGGGCTTACTGGCATGAGCTACTGTGCCTGGCTCAGATTTCTTTTCTAATGGTGCTTTTTAAAATTCTACTCGTTGCAACAAATGTAACTATTTGTCTAAACTATTGTTTCATAAATAATACATTTGCATTCATTTTGACTTTCAATTGTGGATTTTTTTTGGGCCAGGGAGAAAAGCTCTACATGACTCAAAGCATTTTCCTACTTTTTTTAGTCATAAATCTAGCAGTTCTTATGGTAATTTTTGGTTTCCAACTTATCGTTTGTCCTGAAATTTCTCTATCAACATTTATTGTATCAATAAAATGGACGTTATAATTGCAACCTTCTTTTTGAACAAAACCTACTCTGAATACATATGATGGCCAAGCTGTTTGTTTGGCTTTATGTTTTTTTTCCAAAATATTGCCCAGCGATTGTGCTTTCAAAAGTATAATTCAGTCCCTACTGACTTACTTGCCATTCAAGACATTCTCTGGTACAACTTGTTATTGTGAGGTTTCCTCTAGGTGGTTGTTTTATACTTCTTCTTTGGCATGTATTTTCTTAGTGTTAACTATATATCTGGCTTGATCTTGGTACAAACTCACTTAGCATTTTAATCTGAATCTCACTTAATCCTTGTCACTCAGCTGATATAGACCGCACATTTACAATGCCAGTTTAATCATTCTGGAAACATTTGGTCATGAATAAAAGAACACGGCAGCTGTTCCAACTTGCAGGCAGGATGAGACCCTTCTTTACAGAGCTGTTCCAGGGGCTACTGTAAATTCACATTGACCTTGATTTCTTGCTTACGAGAGAGACAATTATAAAATAGGTTGAATTTTTATTTTAAGCTGTTACATCTCCCAAGCTTACCAAACATTTTATTAAAATATTGCATGTCTGCTGAACTTCATTAGTCAACCTCCGGAGAAGTGATAATGTTTCTTGGGGTCTTTACTGTCATTTTTATCCTGCCCCCCTTCTTCATCTCTGAAAAGAAGCAATTTACACTTGCTAAGTATTTGAGAAACAAAATGGCAGGGATGGAAGGACGTACAAATTTAATCAATGTTTTTTCTCTGATACAGATTTATTTGCTGTTGAGACCATTGCAAATGGACCTTGCTAATGCCATATTTTCTGTGGTTCGGTGGTGAATAATTAGACTAAACAAGTTATGCAATAGTCAGTAGGCTTCTTCTAACACCCTCATATCTTTGGGTAGAAGCCTTCTTCCCCATTCCCAGAGATGGTATTGCCATTTGCTTTGCTGTTTCTTCACAACTTCCTGCATGAGTGTCTAAGTATCTCAAAGAATGCTCTGGAATCTGAGTTTATGACCCTGTTTACCCATCAGGATGGGCTAAGTTAAAGGACAAAAGAGCCCTACAATCTCAGTGGCTTAAAATCACCAGGGTTTATTTCTTGCTCACAGAACATTTTGATTACAGATTGTTTGGGGGCTCTGTCTTTTGACTGCCAAGGCAGGAGAAAGAGAATGTGGCAAATGGAGCACTGGCTTTTCAACTTTTTGCTCAGAGGTGACATAATCATTTCTTCTTCATTTCAGAGACTAAAACGAGTTTTAGTTCAAACTTATCTGTGTCTGTAAGGAGAACTCAAAATATTTGGTGAACAGCTCTAATGACGACCACACCCCTGGGGTACACAATTCCTGCAGAGATGACAAGGTACAGTCTACTTGGTATAATGCTTCCTCATTCACATTACATGTTCAGCTCAATAAATCTCTATCTAGGGCTGGTTGGTTACATGGTTTGTAGGGTCCAGTGTAAAATAAAAATGTATGGCCGCTTGTTCAAAAATTACGAAGAGTTTCAAGGGATTGACATCAGAGAATGAAACCAAGCATGGGGCCCTTCTAAATGTAGAACCCTGTTTAACTATACAGGTCATATGGTCGTAAAACTGGCCCTGCATATATGCCAGGGAGGGAGGAGGAAGACAGGACCTCTAGGAGAAGCATCTGAGCATAGTAAATTAAATGTGTGTGCTTTCCTGGAGAGGCCACATAGAGCAAAGCAGATTGTCTCCCTGTCTCACAGGAGGTGCTGTCAGGATGAATGAGACAATGTGAGAGTGAGAATTTTTCCTTTGCAAATCCCTACAGGGAGGTCACCTCTAAATTCAAGGCATAATCATTTTCCCAACAGTGGTTTAATGACATTAATTACGCTCCTGTAACTGAACTGCCTCACTCTTATGCTTTTCTTAGAGGATGAAGATTGAGGACACCCATCCCTGCCCTGACTTTCTCTAAGGAGGGAAACATGGTAGCCTGCCAATAAAGCATCAGGAATGAGTTCCATATGCCTGTGTTCATTTTGGCAAAGTTAAGTCAGAAGAACAGGTTTATTTCAACGGTAGGCAAGAGGACTGTTAACTAGAACTTATTGTCAAGATAACACCAGTCCACTGTGTCCCCTTTTAAAATAAAGGACCCTGGAGAGTCTGCCTGGCTTGTACAGAATCTTTAGGATTCAGAAATATTATTTTGACTGTTGTAAAATGTAAGAAAGCAAATTGCCCATTTAGGTTTTTTTTTTTTTTTTGAAACGGAGTCTCGCTCTGTAGCCGAGGCTGGAGTGCAGTGGGGCGATTTCGGCTCACTGCAAGCTCCGCCTCCTGAGTTCATGCCATTCTCCTGCCTCAGTCTCCTGAGTAGCTGGGACCACAGGCGCCTGCCAACACGCTCGGCTAATTTTTTGTATTTTTAGTAGAGACGGGGTTTCACTGTGTTAGCCAGGATGGTCTCGATCTCCTGACCTCGTGATCCACCCGTCTCAGCCTCCCAAAGTGTTGGGATTATAGGCGAGAACCACCGTGCCTGGCCTTTATTTATTTATTTATTTTTGATTAAACTCTTTGGGAAGTCATATGCTTATGTAAAGGTCATGAGAGACAACAACTTTAATAGTCCTAAGAACTAGAGTAGCACCCCCTTTTCTTATAGTCCTTTCCCTTTGTGGTATTGGAGTAACATTAAAAAAGACCCAGGTCAGTCTGCCTAGAAGTGACTTGGATATTTTTATTGTTTTCAGGCAGGAAGAAAGAGCCACACAGGAAATCGGCAATACTCCCAGTGTTATAACTGAGTTGGCAGATTGGAAAAACATCACTAGACAGAGTCATTTGCATCGGTGATATTTTGGATTTCACAAGTGAGTCATCTGCATCCTCCACCCAGTGAGTCAGCCATGCCCCTGACTAGCACGGAGCATCTCTATTTTGGTTAAGTGTGGAGACTGCATGACACCTGTCCTAGCAGATTGCAAACTTGCCATTTATACCACTTACAGTGACAATTCACTGAATTTTCGTGAATGGATTATCAACTAGTTAGGGTTCTTGTAAGTGGTCGTGAGAGTCACAGAGAAATTGAGGGAGAAATTTACTTTACAGGAAATGGTTAACTATCATGCAGCACTTACTTGCAATAGCCAGGATGCTCATGAAAACAAAGAAATATACCTTGATGGCTTAATTGCTCATGGATGCAAATTAACTCAAGTGAGAAAGGGCTGGGCACTGGGTTAATTCTAAGGTGTTTTGCTGTTTCAGGTTTACATTCCCGTCTCAAACATATGCCTTGCATCTAACAGCTGGGCGTGAGAGTGGAGGTTTGAAGGTTGTGGGGGTGCTGATGGGAGCAGAACAGGTGAAGTCATGTGTAGCACATTATGAGATTTTAATCTTAACTGTGAATTAAAACATAGGTAAAGAAAAATCGTAAAGTGTTGAAATCCCACATGGGTCGGTTTAACAACTAGGTATTTTATTGTCACAACTAGAAGACTTGATTTTTGATTACAGAACAGGGAAGAGGGTGGATGACAAAATTGAAAGTAATCACAGGAATTAAGGAAAAATTCAAATCAATCTCTGTACCGTTTGCTGATGCTATTTACATTCACCTTAAGTTTTCACTCTAGGAGAGAAGACTGTTAGATGGAAGGGTAAAAACGAGATTAGGTATGAATTAGGCCAGTGAAAAGTTGAAAATTTTGTTAAGTTCCTAGGGTTTTGTGTGTGTGTGTGTGTGCGCATCTGAACAAATGATGGCTAATTTGCTTTGACTGTTTGGGAATATTCCTTTGTTGGCAGTTTCCAAAAGTGAGCAGCAGTAGCTATTCTTATATCAGAAAAAACAGACTTTAAAGCAACAACAGTTAAAAAAGGCAAAGATGGTAATTATATAATAATAAACGGATTAATCCAACAAGAAGATACTACAATCCTAATTATTTACCCATAGCTCTGGAGCTCCCAGATTCATAAACAATTGCTACTAGACCTAAGTAAAGAGATAAACGCAACACAATAATAGTTGGGGACTTCAACTCCTCTGAAAGTACTTGACAGATCACCAAGGCAGAAAGTCAACAAAGAAACACTTGACTTAAACTACACTCTAGAGCAAATGGACCTAATAGTTATTTATAGAACATTCTACCCAAGAACTGTAGAATATATATTCTTTTCATCAGCACATGGAACATTCTCCAGGATAGACCATGTGATAAGTCACAACACAAGTCTCAATGCATTAAAAAATCGAAATAATATCAAACATCTTTTCAGACCACAGTGGAATCAAACTAGAAGTCAACTCCAAAAGGACCCTCAAAACTATGTAAATACATGGAAATTAAACCATCTTTTCCTGAATGATTTTGGGGTTATCAATGAAATCAAGATGGGAATTGAAAAATTATTCAGAATGAATAATAGTGACATAAGTTATCAAAATCTTGGATACAGTAAAAGCAGTGCTAAGAGGAAAGTTTATAGTACTAAATGCCTACATCAACAAGTCTGAAAGATCACAAATTGACAAGCTAACATTGCACCTCAAGAAATTAGAGAAGTAAGAACAAACCAAGCCCAAAGCTAACAGAAGAAAAGAAATAACGAGCATCAGATCAGAACTAAATAAAATTAAAACAGCAAAAAACAAAACAAAAGATGAATGAAACAAAATGTTGGTTCTTTGTAAAGGTAAACCAAATCAATAGACCATTAGCCAGATTAACCAAGAAAAGAAGAGAGAAGATTCCAATAAGCTTAATTAGGAATGAAAATGGAAACATTACAACCAAACCACAGAAATACAAAAGATAATTTGAGACCACTATGAACCCTTCCATGCACACAAACTAGAAAATCTAAAGGAAATGGATAAATTCCTAGAAACATAAAACTCTCCTAGCTTGAATCAGGAAGAAATAGAAACCTTGAACAGACCAATAACAAGCAGTGAGATTGTAATTTAAAAAACTGATGTATAGCACTGCTGCTGATCTGTAATAAAAAAAAAGTTGCCAAACAACAGCAGTAAAAGCCCAGGGCCAGAGGGATTCTCAGTGGAATTCTACCAGACAATCAAATAAGAATTGGTACTAATCCTGCTGAAACTATTCTGAAAGATTGAGAAAGAAGGAATCCTCTACAACTCGTTCTACAAAGCCAGTATCACTCTGAAACCACAACCAGGAAAGGATGTAAAAAAAGAAAATTACAGACCAATATCCTTGATAAACATAGACACAAAAATCTTCAACAAAATGCTAGCAAAACAAATCCAACAGTACATCAAAAAGATAATTCGCCATGATCAAGTGGATTTCATCCTAGGGATGGTTTAACATTTGCAAGTCAATAAATGTGATACATCACATAAACAGAATAAAAACCTAAAACCATATGATCATCTCATTAGACACAGGAAAAGCATTCGATAAAATCCAGCATTGCTGTATGATAAAAACCCTCAACAAATGAGGTATAGAAGGAATATACCTCAGAATAATAAAAGCCATCTATGACAAACCCACGGCCAACATCTACTGAATGGGAAAGGTTGAGAACATCCCCCCTAAGAACTGGAGCAAGTCAAGGATGTCCTCTTTCACCACTCCTGTTCAATATAGCACTGGAAGTCCTAGGCAGAGCAATCAGGCAAAAGAAATAAATAAAGTGTATCCAAATTGGAAAACAGGAAGTCAAACTATCTCTATTTGCCGATGATATGATTGTGTACCTAGAAAACCCTCAAGATTTCTCCAAAAGACTGCTAGATTTGACAAATGAATTCAGTAAAGTCTCAGGTTACAAAATCAATGCACACAAATCAGCAGCACTGATATACACCCAAAATGACTAACCTGAGAATCAAATCAAGACCTCAATCCCTTTATAATAGCTGCAAAAAATAAAATACCTAGGAATATGCTTAACCAAGGAGGTGAAAGATGTCTACAAGGAGAATTACTAAACATTGCTGAAAGAAATCATAGATGACACAAACAAATGGAAATACATCCCATGCTCATGGATTGGAAAAATCAGTATCATGAAAATGACTATAACTACCCAAAGCAATTTATAGATTCAATGCAACTCCTATAAAAATACCAACATCATTTTTCACAGAATTAGAAGAAAAAAAATCTTAAAACTTGTATGGAACCAGAAAAGATCTCCAATAGCCAAAACAATCCTAAGCAAAAAGAAGAAATCTGGATACATTACACTGACTTCAAATTGTACTATTAGGTTGTTGCAAAAGGATTGGCGAAAACCTCAATTATTTTTGCACCAACCTAACACAGGCCTGTACTAACCAAAACAGCATAGTACTGGTATAAAAGTAGATACATAGACCAATGGAACAGAAAATAAAACCCAGAAATAAAGCCAAATACTTACAACCAACTGATCTTCAACAAAGTAGACAAAAACATACAGGGGGGAAAGGACTCCCTATTCAATAAATGGTGTTGGAAAAACTGGATAGCTACATGTGGGAGAATTAAGCTGTATCCCTATATCTTACCATATACAAAAATAAACTAAACATGGATCAGAGACTTAAATCGATACCTGAAAATTTTCTAGAAGAAAGCCTAGAAAAAACTCTTCTAGATGTTGGCCTATGCAAATAATTGATAACTAAGACCCTAAAAGCAAATAAAACAAAACTAATAATTGACAAATGGTACTGAATTAAACTAATGAGCTTCTTCACACCAAAATAAACTATCAACAGAGTAAACAGACAACCTACAGAATGGGAGAAAATATTTGCTAATTATGCATCTGACAAAAGACTAGCATCTAGAATCTACAAAGAGCTCAAACAAATCGGCAAGAAAAAAAAACAAACAAATAATCCCATTAAAAAGTAGGCAAAGGACATGAACATACATTTCTCAAAATAAGATATACAGATGGCCAACAAACATATGAGAAAATGCTCAACGTCACTAATCATCAAGGAAATGCAAATTAAAACCACAATGAGACACCACCTTACCCCAGCCAGAATGGCCATTATCAAAAAGTCAGAAAAATAAAAGACATTGGTGTGGATGTGGTGAAAAAAGAATGCTTATACTCTGCTGCTGGTGGGAATTTAAATTAGCACAACCTCTATGGAAAACAGTGTGGAGATTTCTCAAAGAACTAAAAGTAGATCTACCATTTAATCCAGCAATCTCACTACTGGGCATCTATCCAAAGGAAAATAACTAATGATATCAAAAAGACACCAGCACACATATGTTTATCATGGCACAATTCACAGTTGCAAAGGTATGGAATCAACCTAAATTCCCATCAACCAGTGAGTGAATAAAGAATATATATATATACACACACACAGCATGGAATACTAATCAGCAATAAAAAAAATGAAATAATGTCTTTGGCAAAATAATTTGTTTGTTTTTAAGGTATCTAGTACAAAGGTAAGTAACAGAACAAATATTATTCCACTCTATGCAAACAGAAACATTAGTGGAGGGGGTATTATAGAGGAGAAGTTAAAAACATGAGCTTTGTAATCAAATTGGTTAAAATGTAGTTGGAATTCACCTTCTGTGTGACCTTGGAAATGTTATTTGATTCCTCCAAGTTTCAATTTCTTAATCTGTAAAATATGATTGTACTTTAGGACTTTCTTTTAAAAGAAGACATATAGACAACATATGATGTGTGTTTATAATATAGGTTCACTTGCATATTACTAGGGTGTGATAACAACCACGATGATAGTGAGAGTTCTTGTCTCTCTTCATCAGCGGTTCCATATAGGGCATATTTTCCTCTCTTGTCTCTCTCTGAGTAGAAGATTTTGGCAAAGCTAGACTCTAGCTTCCGCATGTTCTTTATGACTCCCTTATCAAGATCCTCCTGTGTGGTGATAGCTGAGCCCACCGTGCTTTGAGAGTGAGGAATCTACAATGAATAACAACCTACCTATTTATGCTATGATCTTTACTTTCCAAAATGGCACAATTATTTAGAATCTAGAAATCAGAACTACTAGTGTAGTAGTTTATTGAATTTCCAATAATCATCATAACACGCATTTACTATGTGCCAGGAACCATGGTAAGCCTTGAACAGCCTATCTCAATTGATATCTTGCTCATAACCTCAACATAAGAAACAGAAGCAGAGCTACTCTGGTTGAAACCAGTAGGTTTGTTTGGTGGGAGTGGGAAGGCTATTGTCATCTAGCCTCATTGTCTTCCCTCATGACATCCTTAAGCTCCCTCCACTGGACTCTTGGACCTGTTAGAGAGCTGCCATGTGTTGTGGCAGTCAATTAGGACAAGGAGTCAAACTGAAAGTAAAAACTAAGCTGTTATTCACTCACTTCAATGGTGTTATCACGAGGCCAGAAAGAGAAAGAGGGTACCAGCTTCCTCAGTGTCCCATTTTTCTCCTTGGCGTGGCACTGGGAAGGGGTCAGATGGATCAGCACAGATTGGGGAGGGGGTTTGTCTCACTGCTGAGGGAGCCCCAAACACAGATTCCTGTCATTTTATGAATGTGGGGCTCTGGGGAAGGAGAGGCACCTGAACAGTGTCTCAGCCAAGTCCCTCCCCTCCCACCCGCTACGCCCCACCCTGCTCATACATATATAGGGAAGCTTTGAATGGAGGGGCCCAGGCTGGGCGTGCAAATGTGTGTATGAGCAGGGCCAGTGGGGGTGGGGTGGGCAGAGCTAAAGCTGCAACTCTCTCCAGAGACTGTCACGCACTGGCTCTGCACCAAATGTGATGTGAGGACCACAGCTTTCTCCGCATGAGGCCTGCAGGCAGTCTTTGTGATTGCCTGTAGTTGAGCCTGAAAGAACACACGTAGGATTCTAGCCTTGAGTCTGACTCCTCAAGATTCTTTGAGTATGGTTTGAAAACTATCGTAATGCTTGATAAAATGTAGGATTGCTTTATGAAGGAAAGATGTAGTCATTTGGCTGTTAGGGAGAATGGAGTTTAATATATTCTGTGCTAATACATAGTTTATATACCTAATTAGCATAATAAACTCACTTTAATATACCAGTTGGTCATCTTTTTATTCTTTTTCTTTTTTTTTGAGAGGCAGGGTCTCACTCTGTCACCCAGGCTGCAGTGCAGTGGTGTGCTCATGGCTCACTGCAGCTTTGACCTCCCAGGCTCAAGCAATCCTCCCTCCTCAGCCTCCTGAGTAGCTGAGACTATAGGCACACACCACCACGCCTGGCTAAGTTTTGTATTTTTTATAGACAGAGTTTCGCCATGTTGCCCTGGCTGGTCTTGAACTCCCGGGCTCAGGGGTCTGCCCACCTCCACCTTCCAAGTGTTGGGATTACAGGTGTGAGCCGCCATGCCTGGCTGGTCACGCTTTTAAAGGCATGCCTTTTATCATGCAGGTGGATATCAAGTTGGCTTTTCTGTTTTCATATTTTTGCCATTCACTGTCCATATCTAAACTTTTGTGGCTCCTCTCTGCAGTGGACAAAATAAGAACTGTAATGCTAGCATGAAATGTTATAACATGAAAACATGAAGTCTTTTGTAAATAAGGTGTCAGTTATTGTTTGTAGTCAAATTCATGGTTTCTCAGCGATTCGGAGCAGAGGAACAACTCTTGCCAAATACAAATGCTTTGTCTCTCAAATCAGATTTGAAATCTGAGACCTGTAGTTACTCAGCATTTACATGGTATTTTTATATGAATAAAATGAATCTCAATTATTTTTACTAGTGATGATCATGTACTTTGGGGGATTTCAGTACATTTGTGTTGGTTAATGAGTGGATTGGCCTTCTCTACATTAAAAAAATAACCAGAAACAACCTTAAAATACAAAATTCTGTTTTCCAATTTTTAGATGCAAGTTTAGAC